GTCTTCAAGTTATTTTCAAAATTTGGAAACAGTCAGTTTCACATTTGTGTGACTTTTCTTGATTCCAACCCAAAGTGGACGCTGCAGATGGGCTTCCCAATAACAGCCTCAACAGTCAATACGGATTGGAAATTTCTGGTATACTCAAGAAATTATCCCTGACCTTATGGCTGATGCCATAATTGCCGTTCCTGCTGTGTTAATGACTTTATGTATTCTTAAGAAACTACTATGGGCTAGAAATATGCCCCACTTTTACACACACACACACAAAAAAAAAAAAAAAAAAAAAAAGGGAAAAGAAGAAAAGATAAAAAAGATAAAAAAAGAAAAGAAAAGAAAAAGAACTCTATGAACCACATGGGGCTATAGCTTGTAAAGGTTTAGGAAAAAAGAAAAAGCTTTATTTTGAAATTTAGGGAAAAAACCTCATTGCGGTGAGAGAGGTTCGAACTCTCAACCTCAGGATAACTCAAAAGCTATGAGAACAACCCCACCACTTCACACTAGGAAACTTTCCTCTTTACAATTGAAGATAATTTTTTTCTTCTGGTGAAGACATGACTTCTGAATCCTAGACTATGAAATAAAAATAAAAATAAAACTAAGGGAAGATACTCGTAATGTCAAAATAAAAACAGCAGTAAACAGAGAGTGAGGGATGGATGAGTGAATCAAAATGAAATCTGATTCTCAAAATCCATGTCCTCATGGAAAGTGCAGAAAACTGGAGACTGCATCACAAGCACGGAGAAAAGAATTTTGCCACTGATAGATCTTTCTCATGATATTCAAAACGAAAACAGCAGTAAACAGATATTGAGAGATGGGGCGAACAAATCAAAATGAAATCTACTATATCAAGGAATTGCAAAATTTAGCAGCTTGTAAAGAGAGAAATTCTATTTATTGACAGTTTACACAACAAAGTGAGTTAGTAGGATCTGTTTGGTTTGTTCCATACAACATATTCTTCCATCAAAAAGAAGAAACATAACTTGATGGCACTCCTCAACTGGAACTCTGGTATAGGTACCGGTGCAAATATATATATATATATATATGTTTGGTTTGTTCCATACAACATATTCTTCCATCAAAAAGAAGAAACATAACTTGATGGCACTCCTCAACTGGAACTCTGGTATAGGTACCGGTGCAAATATATATATATATATATATATTGCTGGATTAGCAAATTTAATCTTTTTTAGTTACTAGAATCATAAAGCCATTTAGTTAAGTACATGGGGCAAAGAAGAATGAGATCTGGATAAGCATTCAAGTCAGCATGCAATAACCAATGTACATAAATTGCAAGTCTATTGAAATTTGAAATGGATGGTAATTTTTGGTCTTTTCTCTCAGGCGTACATTCAAGATGGAAAAGTGCTTTAAGCTGAAGGTGATATTGCATTTACCTCCAAAATATACAACTTTTTGAAATTAGTGGTGATATTGCATATTTCTGGACAAACGCATTTCCATAAAAAACCATTTTGGGGTTGCCACTGGCTGGTAGAAATATCATTCATCTTCAACCAAGATAAAAGGGACAAATTACACTCTTGCATGACCATACAACACTTTTAAGACAACACAGGGACACAACACGGTTCTAAACAAAGCAAGGGAACGTAAACCGAAGGAGTGCACAGAAAAAGCCCCAGAAGTAGAAAATTACAACCACACTAGGAAAGCTTCACAGCTATTGAGTACACAGCAATACACTTTCTACTGAGATTCATAGCTTAATAAGTTTGAAAGTCCAGACCTGCAACTAGTTGTTTGCTCGGTTACATTCAAGATTCTTCTTGATAAGATGCAGCTCGCTGAGAACAACACTGGTGACCGTACGATCTTGAGGTGACTCCATGGAACATGCCACACCAATCTTGATCGTTGAGACTAGGCAATCCATTATGATGTTACTTTGTGACCTCTGTCCGTTAACAATGGTTGCTTCAACTTCTTGTAGGAGTTGCTTGTCTGCAATCTCCGTAATATGATCTGGAAAGGCCATTCTAGCATAGGTGTGAAGGTTAAGACCACCTTCAAAGAGATTGTCAGTGGGTCTCTTTCCTGTCATCATTTCCAACACTAGGATTCCATAACTGTATAGATCCCCATGTATTGAAACCTCACTTCCCATGCCATACTCTAGCATTCACAAATTTACACCCAAAAGATTAAATTCCAAAAAAAATAAAATTAAATGATGAATGCTATGCATATATGCAGTCAAAGATCTAAGTTGAAAAGCATTATAACGTTTAGATCACCTGGAGCAGTGTACCCAATTGTTCCCCTCACTCCAACTGAGCTACTAGTTTGATTTAACATTTTGGATTCTGAAATAAATTTTGCAAGCCCAAAATCTGCAACATGACCAATCATGTCATTGTCTAGAAGCACATTGCTCGGCTTTAGATCGCAATGAACAATTGGCTCCACACAATGGTGATGGAGATAGTCAAGAGCAGAGGCAACATCAATAGCAATACTTATCCTCTGTAACAAGTTTAGATTCTGGACCCTGCTTTGGCCAATGTTTGTTTCCTGAGAAGATGAATGCAACCAATTCTCCAGGCTTCCATTGGGCATCAACTCGTAAACCAGAGCCTTGAAATCGTTGCCTTGAAAATCAATGCTCGAGCAAGAAGTTATGATCTTTACAAGGTTTCGATGACGAATGTTCCTCAAGGCTTCACACTCTGCCATGAAACTATTGAAAGCCCCTCGATGCTGAAGATCCAGTACTTTGATTGCAACATTAGTTCCATCTTCTTCGAGAAAACCTTTATAGACAGAACCGAAGCTACCTTTACCAAGCAGATTTGTTGAAGAAAAGCCATCTGTCGCTTTAAGGAGGCTTTGGTAGGAAAGTCGTTGAAGAGGCTCTTTCAAGAAGAATTCAGAAGATTGCTCTCTGTTTTTTCTTCTATTCCAGCAAAACAAGAAGATAGAGACAA